CTTTACAATTTATTATCGACTATCTTATGTTGGATAAATTAAGCAATTTTTGGATCTTCATATAGGTCATAATTTTAGTTCTAGCGCCCTTGGTCGCAACGACATCAAAACACTAGAAATATCGATCCAGGAGTGATATTCTGTCTTTCTCAATTTTCAAAAATAGATATCCCGATTTCACGCTGTAAAAGCGTGTAGCTCATTCAAAATATGCAAATTTCGTGAGAAAAAGGTCATATAAACAACACTTTATAATTTAACAATTTTTGATGCAATGTTTAAAGGAAAGAACCCTATTTACTTATTCGGTTTTTTTACATGGACCAGCTTATACTAATTAGGGGATTTTCCAAATGCAACTTTTTCAAATAAATTCAAAACTAGACCCTGTATGCAGGGTTGACACGTACCCTTTGTTGTGCATGATGTTGTGAAGTCATTAGTAAATGAGGCCTTAAACCTTACTGATACAGAATAAAGAAATGATTTGATCCTTCGAGCCTTGCCAAGATATATGTGATTTTTGCGATAAGCTTATATATTTGGTGGCTCTTAAAATTTCAGCTGTAACCGCCTTGGTGATTCTGCAGTATAATTTTAAGGTCAGATATACCCGGAGATATATAACTAGGCATGATTTGGTTACAACGTGACGCTTTATTAACTTTTGATATGATAGTAACACAATATTTTTGCACATCTACATTAAAACTCGACATATCTATTGCAGATGTTTGAATAGCCATGGAATTAATAAGCATTTTCTAAAGAGTTGTATTGATATTCAATCATTGGAACCCAATCACTATATCGTTGCCGTTGCTTCACGAGTAGTAAGCGTGTTGATCTCTGTAGTGAGATCTCCTCGTCATCACAATTCAACATACCCTTGGTCCGAACACCCAGACAAGTAATGAGTTCCAGATTTTGGTCGTAAACCTTCATGTTCTGTTCCATATTCGTTAGTAGAGACAATATTCATCAAAATGGCGGATAAAACATTGTGCAGAACGAGTTGGAAATGTTGCGAACGGGATTATCGACAGGCTATAGCGTTCGGAATACACAACGTAATGTGATTGGCTACCGGATATATAATTCACAATGTGATTGGCTACGAAGATGTACCGAAGCCAAACTTTCGACATTGTGAAAAAAAAAA